TACTTATCTGCTATTGGTTTGTTTGACAAATATCCGGACTGAGTCTTCCATATGGTGACAAAACAAACACAGCCAGAAGCTAATGACACTGGCATGGTGACCAGGTGTTTTTATGAAAGGAAGCAATTGGCTGGAAATGTACTGTACCCCTATGTGATGGGCAAACTCTCACCATGTTTCTGTTGAGGTGGCATACTTGATATCATTGCCAGTTCCCTTTTTGGGCTGTGTTTTTTTTTCTCAATGTGGATTTCTCCAGAGAAAGGACATCTACCTGAAGCATTCATGCAGGACGAGGGTTGACCGAATTGAATTCTACCAAGCAGGAGAGAATTTAATCAAGCCCACACACAGTGTCTGTAATGGAGGTGATACCATCAGTGTGGTATAGTTATTACAGGCCCAGGTAGGATACATGATGTAGGCAGGTAGGATTGTGATAGTGACCCAAGGATGATCTACCACATCTACTTCTTAGCATCCCACCCCATCTTGTTTATCTTATGTGACCCAGTTTCTTCCACCAGGTTAAACACTAATACATCAGCTTGTTGTTACTCTTATAAACCACCTCTGAGAGGAATATGAAAGTTACCAATGCCATCAAAGAACAAATACAAGAAGCAGTAAGATGCTTTTTCACATGCATTTTGTCTCCTACGTTCCCCTGGAGAAACACGCCTAAATCTCAAGATGGCAAAAAATAATATTGGCACATCTCAAACCTCCTTATACATATGATCTGTAGGATTCAGATACAGTGATGTGTTTGCCAAGCATGCCACCTGCCTTTTGCAATTATGTAAGAACCTTTTGGATCTGCATTATGGTACAGATAAACATGCAGTGCCTTGCCACGAAGATGGCAAGACCGTTTCTGACCTTCACTGTTTATGAGGGGTTATCTGATCTAAACATATTCATTCCAGTATGAAATGTAATTCTCCCAAGAAACATATCAAGAAAGGGCTCTACACCCTACTCAAGTTCATGCGATCCCTTGGACAGAATGAATTTAGCATCTGCTGGACAGCGGACGAAGTGAGACCGGCATTGACAAAACTAAACACGCTGTATAAGATTTCCCACTCTTTGCAACAATAGCCCACAACATGCAAGCCAATCTAATCAACATGGAAAGAAGCAGTAAGATGCTTTTTCACATGCATTTTGTCTCCTACGTTCCCCTGGAGAAACACGCCTAAATCTCAAGATGGCAAAAAATAATATTGGCACATCTCAAACCTCCTTATACATATGATCTGTAGGATTCAGATACAGTGATGTGTTTGCCAAGCATGCCACCTGCCTTTTGCAATTATGTAAGAACCTTTTGGATCTGCATTATGGTACAGATAAACATGCAGTGCCTTGCCACGAAGATGGCAAGACCGTTTCTGACCTTCACTGTTTATGAGGGGTTATCTGATATAAACATATTCATTCCAGTATGAAATGTAATTCTCCCAAGAAACATATCAAGAAAGGGCTCTACACCCTACTCAAGTTCATGCGATCCCTTGGACAGAATGAATTTAGCATCTGCTGGACAGCGGACGAAGTGAGACCGGCATTGACAAAACTAAACACGCTGTATAAGATTTCCCACTCTTTGCAACAATAGCCCACAACATGCAAGCCAATCTAATCAACATGGAACCGAGGTGTATTTTTAGTTGCATTTCACCTTCCCAGTGATGGCTGTCTATTTTCCCAATCAAAAATTGGTCTCTTCTACAGTTTGAGCTAAAAAGGATTAGCCCAAATATGTTTTTCTCCCTCTTGCCAGTAAAGAAAGTGATCGTTGGCCACCTGTTCCAGCTAAGTGCTAATTCTGGGAACAAAAGCTTAGTGCTTGCCTGGATGTGAGTAATGTAAAAACACCTCATTCACGGCAGTTGGCGGCTAGCCATCCTGGGTCACCGGCTTGCACTGAGCTGATCAAATCCATCTCCACGGTGACTGTGCATGTCCCTGCTAAACCCTTATCCCTCTGCAGTTCAGGGTAAATGAGGGCTAGCGCATTACGTGCTGCGAGTGAACCTGCTGCAAGCAATTAGGTCTCTCCCAATCCTCTGTTTTCCTTTGTCTGCGATTCACATCTGTTCTTTGACAACTACACTCACTGTTGCATTAGTGACAACATATGATTTATGCTGCTGGACAACAGCCAATTTTGGCTCGGTTTGTGAATGTTTCAGCTACAGCTGAGCAGTATAGATAAAACAATTATACCACTGTATTTTTCAGCAACAACAGATATTAAATGCCACAAGTCGATGGACAAATTTTTGCAGTTTAAATGTATCATACTGTATCATACGGTTGCTGAGAGAGCTCAACTTAAGAAAACACATGCAAATAGAAAATTACGAAAGCAAATTATGAAAACATCAGTTTGACAACACATATGAGCTGTAAATACTCACAACACAATCAAATACAGAAATGTGCTGCAAGTAGCACAGACCACATCGGAACCCTTACGGAAATGAACAATGGTTTTACTACAAATAAAACCAAAAAACTATAGTTACTTGTAGTTAAACCATGATAACCACAAATTAACCATGATTTTGCTACACTAACCATTGTTTAACCATGATATTTGTAGTCAAACTGGTTATTCAAATTGTAGTCAATATGCCACAAAAACCATGGTTAGTGTAGCAAAACCATGGTTAATTTGTTATAAAAATTAACCATGTTTTATTGTAGTAAAAGTGTAGTAACCATGGTTTTTGGCATATTGATTACCATTTGTATAACCACAGTTTTTCTACACATACCATGGTTAAACTATGGTTAATATAGCATAACCATGGTTAATTTATGGTTACCATGGTTTAACTATATTAACTATGTTTTTTTGGTTTTATTTGTAGTAAAACCATAGTCAATTTTTATAAGGGAATTACCATATAGTATTAACCATGTTTATTTTATTATTATTATTTAAATAGTAAAACCATGGTTAATTTTCGTAAGAGAAGTTGTAAAAGTAAGTTAGCCAGCTTACATAATGTTTCACAGTTACAGTAATTGTGTTTTTCATCAGCTTATTTAGGCTAATAATATCCAAAAAAGCTAAGGAATCATGTGATCAGGGTGTTAAAATGAACAAAAATCTCACCTTTCAGAGTAGACATTGATAAGCATGTCCAAGCCTGGTTCATCACTTGTTGTGCTTCCCTTAAATATTTCCGATGGGTCTGTACGTATTTGCAGTGCATTTCTGTATTTGGTCGTGTTGTGAGTAATTGCAGCACGTGTTGTCAAACAGATGTTGTTCTCTTAATTTACTGGGTTTTTTTCTATTTGCATGTGTTCTTTTCATTTGCAGTGCGTTGAGCTCTTTTGGCCACCGTAGTATTAAAACATTTTTTGTCTATAGCTCTCATACTTACACATGTTATCGTCATGGTGTTTAAAGTCTCAAAATGTGATTTAGCGTCTTGTGACCCTGCAGCAGGCAAGCTGAAAAAGGCACCAATGCTTTGCAATTTTTTCTAAGTACAGGGACCGCTTTTCCCATTTGGACTTACTTCTTAAGATCGTAAGTAGCTACAAAAACAATGCAGCCACTAGTGTATCAGAAATCGGAACGGCCCCTCACCAACACCTGTAATGAGATCACAAGGTATTGCTGTTTCTTTTTGTACGTACTATAGTCAGTGAGTCCCTTGGGTTTTTCAATGTTGCAGTGCATAAAACCTAAGTGCTTCAATCAATTTGTCTCTTTAAAAATGAACTTTTATCTTGATACATCCGTTTTGTACATCAACCCAATCTTTTTGCAGTTGTTTAAAATATTAGAGTGAAACCTCTTTCACAATTGTGCACATTTCTCTTAAAAGGGAAGAGAAGCTGTTGCAGCCCTGTCCTCAGTTTTAGCCTTCACTTCAAGTGGACTTGAAGACAGCATGAGGGAAGCAATGTGTGTCCATCATTTGCGTGATTAGAGCTTGAAACCGCTGATTGCCACCAAGTACTTAGCCACCACTGATGGCTTTATCCTACCACTCCTGCCTATTACATTCAATCTGTGCACCATTAGTCAAGCACATAGACAAAAAGGGTAGATTTACTGGATTATCACTTTCTATCATCTGTTCTTTTTTTTATTTTTGTTTTTTTAAAGCACATGCATATATCCATTCACCTACAGTTTTACGTGTACCATTTGGGAAAGAGACTGGGCCTGATCATCTTTGATCCACTGGGATTACATTGAAGTTGGACGGGGTCTTGAATCGGTTGTAATGCTTGGCGCTTTCATCCTGGAAGATTAAATTAAAAGGCAGGATCAGAGATCAGGACCGTCTGCTAGAAGCTGCTTTGAATGCAGCATTGGAGAGCTTCCTGTTTTGCGTTTTAAACTCCAATGTCTTGTAGTCACTGCTAAACTGAGACAGTTGAATTTAAATAATTTGAATTTGACCTACTTTCCTAACATGTGCTCTGGTGTTGAGCGCAGTGACGTCAATCGGTGGCTCTCGCAGCAAGTGCTGCGCACAGTCTGTGATCCCCTCATGCGGACAAGACTAGTCTCAGGTGTAAATTTGACTTGGAACTGAAGATGCGAATGTAAAGAGTTTGGTGGGTCAGGCATATTTTAATGCATTTAGATTTCTGTGTGTCAGTGGCCTGCTCCCCACATCAATTCTATTCAAATATTCAAAACCACTGAACACACAATACAAAATTAACATATCTGGTGAAATAAAATATTACCTGGGAGATAATGTATTAAAAAACTTTGTGAAGTGGGAATTTATCATGTAAAGTGGGATTTCAGTAACAAAATGGAGGAGAATGTTATATTAAACAGATTTTCTGTACAATTATGACAAACTTATTAAACATATAACCTTGCTACTGTTTAAGCCACTGTATTGCATGTGCTTAAACCATTCATGTAAAACTTGTAGCAAATTGTAACTCATACAGTGTATTTTTTGTACAGAATTTTTCATGTTTTTGATTTGTTTATCCCACAGAATCCATCTCAGGTGGGAACGGCCCTACAGGTGTTTTACAACCTCGGCAATCTGAGAGAGACCATAAGAAGTGTAGTGGATGGATACAGGACATCTGTGCAGGAGAATGTTATTAATGCCCTGGACATTAAAGTCCTTACTCAACCTGCTAACACTAGAGGTTTGTAGTTTGGTGCATTTGTGGCTGTTTTAGAGTGCTTGCTGATTCTGCATTGTATTTTAACGTGTGCCTCTCATGTCTGCTGTGTTTAGGTGCCCCTGGCAGAGCTGTCATGCCCACTCCAGGGAATACAGCTGCATTTCGAGCTGCCCTTTGGACAAATTTAGAGAAACTAATGGACCAGATCTGTGCTGCGTGTGGTCAGGTATGCATAAGTCATCAAACTCACACAGATGTTACTATTATGAAACACTGTTAGTGTCATTAGGCAAAACACCAGCAGTTCACAGATGGCTGTGGTATTACCATGTCCCACTCTGAACTTTTTAGCACTCCTGTTAATGGTAGAGAGAGGATGCTTAAGTGGGGAGGGAAGATTGCTATCACTCTTCTCCACTCATACATGCTGTTCAAGTCCATGCATTATTTGGCAACTTGCAAAGCTTGATGCATAAGTTGCTTTTGGAAATATATTGTTGGTAAAGAAAAATATACAAATCAACTCATCTGATTTTGTATTAAATGCATGAGCATGATGCATTAACTAAGTGCATGATATTAAAACTTGTTAATAGATCTACTGTATAAATGCAGTAAGAATTGTACCTATTTTTTTTTTTAAGCCAAGTGTTAAATTTAGATCATGCTTGAAAGGGGTCTTTGAATATATTGGTTTAATTTTCTGCTATGTTCCTGAACAGGTGCAGCACCTGCAGAAGGTTCTAACCAAAAAGAGGGACCCAGTGTCTCATGTGTGCTTTATTGATGAGATTATCAAGGTGAGATGAGATGGAAAATATGATTTCATATCTATATTTGTTTTGATTTTTACATGCGTTTTTGTTGTGTATGACGGAAGAGTTAAGCGGTAAAAAATTTTTTGTAAAGTCGCACTGGGAAGTTGTGTGTGTCGATAATGTACGTATCCCATGAGTGAAGAGTTTGTCCTTGATATGTAGTGATTTATTACAAAGGATTTTTGTGTGTTGCCCTTGCCTTTGGCTGGCCTGCCTGCATAGCCCCTGCTGGTTCACTTGCTGCTGGCACATTAGCAGTAAATGACATCCTAATTGGTGTCTGCAGGTGGCTGGCCCCTCTGTGACAAGGTTATCTAGCCCACACGCATACACACATGCGCACACACATGCACACACATATATCCACCACACATTTTCAGCCAGACAGTGATGGGACAATTTTATCTACATTCTCCATTTGGCTCTGGGTGACTTTGTGAACTAGCAGGAGTGTGTTGGTGCACGCTGAGTGACAAGAACAGTGTTCGCAAAGGCATATGCAATGCGCTTCCCCTTTGGTATCCCAGACATCCGTGGCTCTCCATTCCTTCAGTGGCGAATTTGGCTAATTACAGACGGTAATTAAGGTGCTATTTTCTGCTAAGTGAAGGGCTAAACTGTGAGATCAGAACAGTTTAGAAAGGGGTGGTAAGATTTCACAGATGGATTTGATGTAGGGGATTTGATGTAGCTGATGTGGGGCATAGATTTTTGTTTATCTAAAGCAGAATTGTGACTTGGAATGGCATACTACTTGTACTATATGTTCTGTGTGTATACTGTGCACAGCATGCAAATTTTACACATGCATTTTTATATTTCAATGAGAATTTTGTCCGTAATAATTTTGTAATTTAGATATAATTTAAGATTTATAAACACTCACAACATAAAATACTACATCGCTCAACCAATGAACCAAAAACAATATCAACCACAATTTTAAACATCGCTTTCTTGACGTATTGTTTGGCTGAATCAACAAAATTTGATTACAATAATGCAATTTCATGATAACTGCACGCCACTTGCTTTAAACGTAATGGGGTCATGCGACAACAACATAGCATACTACTGCATACCAATGTTTTCTGTTGCATAAAGTATACCACACAGTATGTTAGTATTCCATTCCGAACACAGCCATAGTTGTGTCTTGCATTTGTGAGAAAGAGAAAAGGTCTGTCTCCAAACCAACAGTCGTTTTCTCTCTCTCTCTGTTGGTATTCCTCCCATTTTCACTCCGTAAACAGTTTCGGGGGAGATGAGTTGAGCGGCTTCTAATCACCTCTTGGAAATCGAGATTTTCGGTCAGAAGATTGAGGTCTGCAGGAATTGGGGGGGGGGGCGTTTCCATGGCAGCACCTTCTCTCGCTCTCCCATAGACCTTTTCTTTCCTTGTTACAAAACAGAAAGGAAAAGCAAACAGTTCAATTTGAAAGTGAGGGTTGGCCTTTCTCTTTCGAATATGTAAGAAAACATGACAGCGTGATGAACGGAGATAAAAGTTAAAATAGTGCTACATTCGGTCAGAAGATTGAGGTCTGGAGGAATGGGGGGGGGGGGCGTTTCCATGGCAACACCTTCTCCCACTCTCCCATAAACCTTTTTCTTTCCTTGTTGAAAAACTGAAAAGAAAAGCAAAAAGTTCGATTTGAGAGTGGTTTTGCAAAATTTGGCTCTTTTGAATATGTAAGAAAAAATTACGCATGATCAACGGAGATAAAAGTTCAAATAATGCTACATCATATGTGTGCTGATTTAAATATAATGCTTCATAGACTGAAATGTGTTTATCTTAAGTTGACAAGCTCACATTTTGTATAAAGTAAAAGCTCAATGACTCTAAGTAGAAAGGGACACCTTGAAATTCAAACCACCCAGAATGACTGACAAGAGTGTCATCGGGTGCTCAGATAGCCGTCAGCTGTAGATGAAAGAAGTGCCCGACATTTAAAATGCCCCGTGAAAGGTGTTGCAGGGCAGGCACCTCTTTTGGAGCCTCACAAGCCTGTAAAAAGCCCTACAGCACCTCTGAACCTTTAGTTTAACAAGATGCATGCAGGAGACAGGACACATATGCAGTATAGGAAAACACATACAGGAACTTTGTGCAGGAGTCAATGTACAGCACAACAAAGCTGCTGTCGGATTCCCTGGAGACTGGAAAAGGTGGGTGAATGCCATGTTTTTTGTTTTCTTTCTCTGCCTCCACTTCGAAAGCTGTTTTCAAACTCCCACAATCTCACACCTTTATTTGTGGCAAAAACACCCCCCACACAGGCACCCATCGGAAAGCAAAACCTGCAAACCGCTACATTTAACAGTTACACAAGTAAAACAGACCTTCCAGTTGGATTCCCAGCTGCTTTTATGTAGAAAACAAGCCTTCTGGCTCTCTGGCATGAGTTCATCTTCACGGATGGCCCTCTTGTTCACTTCAGGTGTCATAAGTGTGAAATACGACTCTACATCAGAAAGAAGAAATTGCCTGAAGTACTGGAGCATATATGAAACTCACTTGTATTTTAAAAAAAGAAAGAGATTCCAAGATTGGTTTTATTTCATTGATGATGGCACTGAAACCATGCCACTCTGTATGCTACTATACAAATTTGGCATGGACACTACAAGTTTGTGCAAAACCTGATTATCTGGTATGATTTCATAATGCACCAAAGGGTGTCTTGTGAACTGTAATGGACCTTTTGTACAATGGAGTTCATGTGCTCAATGTCACAAATTTTCCTTCATTTCCTCTACACTTAATTTTTTTTTTTTTTTATGTTCAATTAAAAAAATAAATAAATAAAAAATAAAAACTTGCTGTGTATTTCCAGATTTAAAGATTGCCAATGTGGTCTTAGATTTTTGGACCCACTGTATATATACTTCATATTTTTAATTTTCAAGTCTCCATACTTCATCTTGTCTTTGTTTCTTTGGAGAATTCTCAAATTTGTAGCGGCAGAAATTGTGTGAGTCATAAGAGAGAGTCATTTATATCACTGTAAAGTCGCTGCAAACTACTTTAGCCTGATGTACGGCGAGTCAGCAGGGACATTCAGAGCAGGTTGATTTGCTTAGGTGATGTGTGGATGCAATGTCATTGAAACAGTACTGCTGCTTGCTCTCTGTCTCCAGCAAAACAATAGATGTAGGAAAGGACAGAAAAAGAGGAAGTGATTGAGGTAGTAGATAAACTCATCTTTAATGGCCTTGAGCTCTGTACTAAAATATATCTGGCTCACCCCATTCCCCCTGTGTAAATTAAATTAAACCTTGTACAATCATTGTGCATCTTGTTGTCTGTAAATTGACAGTCTATGCAAGTTACACACACTGTGTCAGGCACACAAATACTATTTTGGTCAGTAAATAAATCTGACTGTATTCATATGATTTAAATAATCTATAAAGTAAATGTGATCTCCCTTTGTATGTAAATTAGATTTCAAAATAAAGTTTGTACTCATTTCTCAATAGCTCAGCAGTGGGATTGATATGGTAAGGATCAGACAAACTAACTGCTTCTTTATTTGGCTGATCCTGAGACACTCCAGCCTCTTTACACACACATAGTGAGAAGTGGTTAGATTGGCAAATGCCATCAGCATTAGACCATATTTGTTGCGTAATGAACAAAACAAATGATTATTTTCCATAGACTTCCCCGTTTACACACATACACTCCATTAAGAGTACACTTATTGCCAAACAAAATGTCTTGCACCAAAAAGATTGTAATTTTGTTTAAAATGTGCTTAATTGCTGTGATTCTAGTTTTTATTTAGGGTGAATGTGACCTGGACATTAGTTTTATGATGTGTTATGGGTTGGAGCCATTAAAGGCAGTCATATCAGCTTTGTTTGCATAGTATGTTAATGCATATACGTATGTTATTATGTGTGTCAGAGGCCATTATGGTAAAGTTCATGTGTTTTCTCTCTTATCAGGATGGGCAGCCTGACATCTTGCACACCTTCTGGAGTTCAGTCACTCAAACGCTCTCCGAGGAGCTGCAGAAAGCCACAGCTGGTGAGTCTCAGTCTGGGGTTTTTGTTTAAGATGATGCCCCGCCATGCATCTCAAAAGCTCATTCTGTGTGTGAGTGTGTTACACAAGCTCCCCTCCTGCGCCTAGTCTCTCTCTTCTCCTCCGCTCTTGCTTTCTTTTCATCACATTGCAGTCGGATTCAAACTCTATTACCCACGTACACTCTTCTGGAGTTGCATTTGAGAAGACTGACTCTGTTAACCCTTTTCTCTACGAACTGAGCCTGTATGCTTTCTCAGATATTGTTCGTTCTTCACTTCCACTTCACACTATAATCTCAAGCCAGGGGGGCTCCTTGGAGAAGTGTTTACACTTCCATAATCTCTGATGAATTTTAGAGCTCAGATACAGCCAATGATAGAGGCCATTATCAATACAGACACAAGACGATGATTTCTACACTGATCTCAGGGTGTTATCATCAATAAGAAGCAGGATAAATCAAGGTGTTTGGTCACAGAGAATATGGAGGAAGCTAGTGCTGGGCGGCATGACCAAAAATTTATATCACGGTATTTTTCAAAATTATACCGGTTTCACGGTACATGACGGTATTTTTTTTTCATGCATGACCGGGTGCTAACCATATTTTCTACTGATTGAGAGAGGAAATACTGCAGTATATTGACTTAGAATGCGTCTGATAAAATCAACATGCATCTACACTAAAGAGTGGCTATGCGGTTGTTTTGTCTATATTACTTTTTTGTCTCATGCATCGCACTGCCTGCGTCTGAGTAACAAAGTAAAAAAAAACAACAAACAAAAAAAATGGATGTGATATTAACAGACGAACACAGCTGTTCCCTCACCACAGTGCAACAGTGAAAAGGGACCTCTTTTCAAACAGTGTCGCGTTCCGAACGTTGTATTGCGGTATTTTAAAAATTAATATCATAACAAAAATAAACACCGGTATTCGGTATGAACCGGTATAACGCCCAACATTAGAGGAAGCAGACCTTCAAATGTGAGATTCATGTGACTCCACAGGTGTACAACCAAAACAGACTCCCCTCTTTATTTTTTTTTTTAATTAGCCTGTAACTTGGGAAGCTACAGTACCATTGCAGAATAGCTTTTTCCACCCAGTCTTGGGATAGATTTTAGACCCTAGGTCTTTAAAGCCCAAAGTATACTTGGGCAAAATTTGTCACCAGAATAGCATGCGCACCACCCGATTTTTGTAACTTTTTACGAGCACGTCACACATGCGCATTGACTTGGTTTTGCACTTATCAGTTATTCCACAAGGTGGCAACACTGACCCATGCTGCTGTTTCACAGTAGAAAATGAAACTAAAGAGACGGAACAACAACAAAATAGTGGAGACTGCAACAACAACAGACAGACGCATTGACAAGCGCTTGTGTGAAGGGGTTATGAGATAGCAACTTTAGTTTAAAGGACTACAAAGACATTTTTACCAGTCATAATTTCTGGAGAAATATAGCACAGACAGAGTAAGATGAACTTTTCTAGAGCATGTGTCGACTGCTTGCATTCGCGCACGCTATCAAATGGAGTATAATTTGAAAGGCTGTGCATTCGACTGTATGCATACGCTAGAGCAGTGTTTCCCAACCACTGTGCCGTGGCACACTAGTGTGCCATGACAGGTTGTGAGGTGTGCCATGGAAAATTATCAAAAACTTCCTATGTGTATTATATTTCGTTAAATCAGTGCTATTGGTAATCGTTAAGTCTGTTTGTGGGTTTTACAAATATTCAACCAATGAAAACCATTCAAAAGAGTTTGTGACTAAACCTCGTAACGCCATTAGATCCTCAAATTGTCAGTCAAACCTCATAACACCACCCCGCCTCCATTCAAAATGAAGTACCATGACTCACAGTTTGAAGACAGATGTCTACTTCGCAATGCAAGGGTAAATAAAAACTGATGTTTGAATAATTACAGTGTTTTCTTTACTCAAGAAACACCGCCTACAAAGGCTGATGTTTTTGTGTGTTTGAAGAGCGGAAAAGAGTCTTAGCATTTGCTGTCTAGTTGTAGCCAATATACTTTGGTACGTTTTAAATATCCTGTGTATAGCGGTTCATCTTTTATATCATGAGATTTTGGCCAAATGTATTAGACAACAAGAAAAACGGAGTGCCCATATAGCTGCAATGCTACGAGTATAGCATACACTTTATAACCTGTAAATTGATGAAAACGGATGTGATTAATTTACCTCAGATGTGGCCATTCTAATGACGGACAAAGTGCAGATCTCCATCATTCACTCGTCAAAAACCTTGTTACAGTAACTCCATTTGAGCGTGATTTTCAGAAAATGCTAAGTGCAAGTGTCTGATCATATAAAGCCAAAATACCAACTCTGATGACACATTGTTGAAGGGATCATATGATACGATTTCAAGGTTTCCTTTCTCTTTGGAGTGTTACAAGCTGTTCATGAATAGATAAGATTTTTGTGCTTCGTGGTGTGCCGTGGGATTTTTTACTTATCAAAACTGTGCCGCAGCAGGAAAAAGTTTGGGAAACACTGTGCTTGAGTATGTGTAAAAAAAAAACAAAAAACAGAAGTATACTTTGAGCGTAACACTGCTCCTGGGGATCCACTGTCCTGCAAAGTGTATTTACAACTTGCTTTTGCTCACCGGGCCTGTGATTTTTCCACGTTATCCTGAAGAGCTTGATTAGCTGGTTCAGGTGTGTTTGATTAGGGTTGTGATTGAACTATGCAGGACAGTGTATACCTAGGAGCAGGGTTGAAGACCTAGCATTTTGACACTTGTATTGTATATCAACTGATGGTTTTCTAGGCTGGTGACAATTACATTTGTGTGTTTAACAAACAGTTTTATCTAAAGCAATTTGTTTGTCCATGTATTCTCAAAACCATGACCTTGCCATTGGGTTGTTGTTTTAAACCGCAGAAGGGATGTTTCATGAGCTATGGCCATTGTGCTCTTGATCTAGGCACTTAACTCTAAGTGCTTTAATAATAAACCAACATGGCATCATCACGAAGACGAACTATATGTTTATACGTGAAATTCCGGAGGGGACGTCGGATGGCGTCACGTTGGACGTAATGACGTGTGCCATTAATCGAACTACGTACTATAACATGGAAAACGGGAACATGAAAGGAATATTCTAAAAGCAACTCATGTAAACACCATAAATCATAATATTCGCTTATTTAGAATAAGGTAAATAATTAGATTACTGATGTCCATGTAAACGTAGTCACTGACTCATGATTGCAACTGGTGCCCATCTTAATTAGTGAGTTAAAGATCTTGGGCAGCACGTCCTCACTGCAGACTCAGAGACACTGTAATTTAGACCTTGGCCTTGATGATGTGGCTCTATTGATCCCTGCCTGTGTTATCACGACCTAATGATGCTTTGTGCTCCACTCCCCCTGATCAATAGAAGGCAAATAGGAGCCTTTGCAACACTTTTATTATCCAAATTCTTGTGCATTACTCCCTCTTCTAAGCCTTTATCAAGCTTGATTTGAAACGTCTCAATCAAACTTGCTTTTATATTTTCCAGACCCTAGGGGGCTCACCTTGTACATCTATTAGGGGAACTATGCCAAAATACTCTCATAAAATGAGAATGTTCGAGGTGAAGATGCTCTCACAAACTTTGTGGCTCCAAGAGGCCATCAGAAAACATTTTGTCTTGAGACATCAGTGCTCCACAAGCCTTCAAAGAAGATCTGTTTATAAATGATTTATCGCTTCCTCTTTGTTCTTAAATACGTTTTGTGACTACTGACGGCTCCCTGCCTCTTCCCAGAATTCTTTCCTGAACTGTTTGACTTTCAAAGAGCAGGTCAAAGGATGAAGCCAATATTCCTCTCAATGTTCAGTGTAGGCTTCCTGACTTGGCCTTCAGCATTGTTTGAACCCTGGGGACCCTTATGAATTAATTTGCTAACAGTAAGAGTGCTGGTCTAGGGTCATTTCTGCTCCGTTTTTATTATTAATGTTTTCACTTCATTATTGTATCACAACATGAACCTGGCTCCTGACTAACAATGAAGATCTCACAACAAGAGAGAACAATGAAGATGCCATTTTTCAACCACTGACGTTCATTTGTTGGTTTTTGTATGCACCTCATCACCTTCCCCGAGGAAAGATTTTCTTGACAGTTATGGGTTGTGTTTGAACACTGCTGCATGGCAGTTTTATGAAGTGAGGAATTTTAAGCTTCACTACCGGCAATAAATCAGAAACGTAACATCAACTGAACATGGCTACAGCTCATAGTCAGCACCCCATCAGTAGAGTAGAACTACCAGGACTCGTCTTTGTTCAAGTGATAGCAAAACAAAGATGGAAACGGTTTAAGATGCTTGCGCCTCTGAACTACTCAATTATGCATTCATCAAATCAATCTGCATAGGAAACAATTTGCATAATATTCGTAATGAGCATTTAATCACCTGTAAAGTTGGGTTATTACCATATTAATGAAGAGGCATTTTTATGGAATTCCATCCATTTGACTCTCATTTTGCCAAGTGTATACTCTTTATTAGACATTGTTTTTGTTAGATTGGTTTGAGATAAGGGATTTGGTTTTTCAGCTCACTGAGGCACAAAGAAAGAATTTGAGGTTTTAAGTCACTGCTTGCCATTGTCATAGGCAACACCTTTTTTAATTAAATGGCATTCACAACAACGTAGGCTTTATAACCCTGATTTCTTGACTATAGTGAAACTGACCATTAAAGTCAACATGAAATTAAAATTCACTATTAAAATACATTTCTTTTTTAGATTCATTATTGCACATCATTCAAAAAAAAAATAAGTGTCTGTTGTTGTATTCTTTGTAATCACAAGTCTATGCATTTGCATCCTTTTTAGCTGTTTTCAACTACTGTAGTAATGCAGTATTTCTAAAATGTCAATATTGGGACAAATACACAACACATGGATTTATCTATAGTGGCTTTCGCACCGTGTAGTTCTAGGATCTCAGTTCTAGGAACTAGCCAGCATGGTGGTTCCTAGAGAACCAATTTCCCCCTTGGGACGTTTTCCTGGTTGCATTTGCACCGGCAGCAGGAACTCTGAACCAGCCGACAGCGACGTCTTTATTCACTGCATTTACTCTGGTGCAAAAGCCCCTTATGTGGCCATCTTCTCTCTAAATGCATCCTGTTCTCAATTATTTTTTCTTTTGTTCTCAGCATCAACCTTCCTGAAGCAGGCCCTGGAGGGAGAGTATCCCAAACTCTTGAGGCTTTATAATGAGCTATGGAAGAGGCTGCAGCAGTACAGTACAAGCATACAGGGGGCGCTTGTGAGCAGTGGTGCAGGTCTAGATGTGGAACTGCCAGTGTCAGAGCATGATGCTGAAGATCTGTTCACCCAGACCAAACCAGACTATGAGTGAGTAATATTACAATAAACACACATACACACTAACTCTCCAACATTTGTTTTCATAATTCTGTTGTAATTATTTAACAAATTGATGAAATGTAGTCCATACAGAAATGTTCTATGATAAATAATAGTTTCTGCCCAAATACAGTAGCTGCTACAGGAATTATTACTTTTTTTTTTAAGACAGTGGTGGCTAATACCAAGCTGCCAGAGATTTATTGTGGTTACAACAGTAACTGTTATGAATTTGTTTTTGTTTTTTTGTAGAAACTATTGTAATTTTTTTTCAAGGTGAGGCCATACTAATGTTTTGTTTTTAGAACTAAATTGCAACTATCAATTGCTGAAATGATTGCTGACTGACTTAAAATTTTAAGATGCTAAGTGCAAGCAGTCAAACAGAAATGCCACGATTTCTCATAATAAAGGCCAGAAGTTTATCTACACAACTATCATTTTCCTAATCATTTTGGTGGCACAACAAAGATTTTGTTTACCCGCAAAGTGCTCTCAAAACTGCTCTCATCAATCAGACAGTGTTTCTGCCTTTCACCTGAATGGTAAGATGCTTTAGGAAGCAAAGAAGCCCTTCTACTATCAGACACATTTTCAGACAATCTTTCAGAATGCAGTCAACGTTTCTGCCACTATTCTGATCAAACACCAAGATCCCATAATCACAATTGTCCCCTAAACGGCCCACATTTTACGCACAGTTGCTTGTATCACATAATACAGCTCAAAAAAGCATGTCAAGATGCATGACAACCAGCAATTAAAGCCAAGATTATTAAAGCATTTTGTCAAAAAGTGGCAAATGTGTTTAATATGTCAGGTTGATGTGGGGGGTAAACTATTTTCTTTGTATTTTATTTTGGAGAGATTCAGTAGATCTATATTTGTCTCTAATAAAACAATTTGCTTTGTGGTAGAATTCAGTGTACTGCAAGCAGTACAGCATTGAACAGCATCTACTGACTTAAGTTTAGAGATCTATTATTATAGAGAAATCTATTATGTGTTAATTCACTGCGCTTTTTTCATCTTTAAAAGTAAGATTCATTTGGATTTTAGTTTCTGACATTAATGATGCTATTTCTCTTAGCCCGTTTAACACTATTGTCAAAATTTCCACAACCTATTATATTTTTTTTGCAAGAAGTGTGCATAATTTATGATAATGAATGACTTTTTGCCCTCTAATTCACATTACCATTATCGTCCAGTTTTTTGCAATTCATTACTGTATTACAGTAAAAAAAAAAATACTAACTCTGAGGTGGTTTTATCTAAATCAGCATAACGTATTATACAGCTAATACTATCATGATGTATGAATACAATTTTAAAAATGATTCATTTTCACATTATAGTGATGAGAATGAGGTTCTACGCATTACTATAATGAGAACTGTCAAATAATATTTTAAAATATACCTCATTTTCAGACTTTACAATATAATGAAAAAGTCTGAAACTTTTAATGAAAATAGTAACCGTTGGTGAAACAATCATAAATCAGTTACACTTTTATCAACAATTGGTATGCACAGATCAAACAATATAATAATTATTGGGAATTAAGCAGCTGTCATGTCAGCAAGGAAAACTAATTTATTACAGTGGCAAAATCAAATGCTGGGGGCTTTGATCCCTACTGAGATGAGGAGTGTAAGTAGGCTATTCATTAAGTGTCGTTCAGTTTGCTCTGCTGCACTTTTGATTTAGTCTCGATTTGTAATTATCTCTACGGGCATGCCTCTGATTAAATTCAAGATTTAGGTCAGTGAAATTTCATACATACATGCAGAGTATGTGACATACATGTCATGTGTTTTTCAAAAAAACAAAAACATGCACTTCAATTACATAAAGTGATGATAGTCTGATGATAGGAACATTGGAAATGAAGGGTCTGACATCATCAGGGTACAGCAACTGCCAAAAAACACTTTGTCACGTGTCACTTAGCACGTGTTGTCATTTACTTGTTTTACAGTTACAGTTAAGCAAAGGAATAACGTTTTTGACATTTTATTTGTTCCAGTCCAGAGAAGGATCTAAAGGACTCCCTTCAGCCATATGAAGCAGCTTACCTGTCCAAGTCTCTGTCCCGCCTCTTTGACCCCATCAATCTTGTGTTCCCTCAAGGGGGCCGAAACCCATCCTCTAATGATGAACTTGACAGCATCATAAAAACAATAGCCAGGTACACCTCCAATATGCATAGTATATCATAACTTTGTTCCATCATCATTTCCCTACTGTGCTACTATGCTGCCTTCTAATGCTGCTTTTCTACTGCATGGTATGGCTCATTTTTGGGGGGTTTTGCACTGTGTAGTACCTGGTACATTTTTTGATACCACCTCAGTTGAGGTTCCAAGCGAGCTGTACCGATACTAAAATGTGACGTGTAAACACTGCAGATCACTGATTGGTCAGAGAATCGTCACTACCAGCATCATTGGATTTGCAACACAAGACACCAAACCCGCTAGATTTAAATAGTCAGCAACAGCCACTGCTGTATCATTTGTTCGCACGTCTTTTTTTTTTAAACGACTTGCTTTAAACGACCGTCGCACTATAACAATCAGTCTATAATCCCACCAATTTTGAAGTGGTACTAAACTGCAGTGGAAAAGCAAACCGAGCCAAAGTAAAGCAAGCTGAGCTGAGCCGTGCCGTGTCGTGCTGAGTCATACCACACAGTGGAAAAGCGCCATAAGAAAGCTCATTTTTGGCCTAGTGTTAAGGAAGTATTGCATGTTTCCTTCATGAAGAAAACAATCCAATAATGCACTGCAAGCATTTAGAGTCAAGAGAAATGTCAATTATAAATATAGTTACATTTCATATAATACTAAAATTTACTAAAGGACTAATAATGGACTGATTTGAGTTGAATTACTGAAATAAATGAACTTTTCCACGACATTCTAATTTATTGAGATGCACCTGTATATAGTGATTAGACTAACCATAAGCAGACTACTGATTGTTTTTATTGACTGTAATTTGCTAACAGTTGATCCTATATGTTGTTTTTGCGTGTTAGTGAGCTGAATGTTGCATCAGTGGATTCCGGCCTGACGATCGCAGTGGCCAAGAACGCCGCCAAGACTGTGCAGCTTTTCTGCGTCAAGTCAGAGCAGTTGGTAAGACACACACAGAGATAATGAGCTAGGCTGAGCGGGAGGCTGTCTGCTCTCATGCCCCTCAACCCAGCCAGGGAGGTGACACACACGGTCGGCGACTGAGCTCATTATGAGAGCCAAGGTAGGGTGGGGCTCATCTCAACAAGCGTCAGAAAATCAGAGCAACTGCTGAGAGCCGTGACCTGGACAAGAGGCAGGGCGGATTTCAGCCTACCTAGTTAGAGGTGCTACTTGATTTGGTCTATAAATAGAAGCCACACAAATCAGGCAAAGGTGAGATCAAGAATGCAATGCTTGGTCGGTAGTTGGTCGACCAAAAAAATAAATACCAGTAGTTGGAGGACAAATCAGTTTGCAACACAATATTCATGCTCTTAGTTTACTAAATGTACTTCTCTGCTGTTATATTGTGGTTAATAGATGTGTGCTTCTTGTGTGCTAAGCTATTGAAGTGGTCAGAGTGACTGGAGTCTCAATCTCATTGTTAGTAGTGATCCACATTAAGTTACATGGAGATAACAGCCTTAATCAATAAATGGTAACATTTTACTTACAGCCTTTATGTATAATGCATTATAAAAGTAGCTTTAGTGCATTAATTATGCCTTGTAATGCACATTATATGCATTGTACAATCTCATGAATAATTGTAAACACAGTTAATACATTATAACACTTATCAATTCATTGTTACACTTTAAATTCAGTTGCAATTATTTACGACAAGATATAATGTATTACAACGCACATTATGAATAATTATAATGCATCATATCCTTTATTATAAAACGGATAGTTCCGTTCCTTGATTCTGATTGGTTGAGCCGTGTTCGAAGCTGTTGTAAATTACTCTACAAACATACACCTTTGTTTACTTTGTGTGTTGCTTGGCAACCACTTTGTTGGAACCACAACTGTTTCTGACGAACTACATTTTTTGGTGGAAGAATACTGTTTTTATTAATATCATTACACTTTATTTGCTTGGTTTTATTTTGTGAAACAAACTACGTATATGGAATAACCGTTTTTATAAAAGCAATAAGCCTCCACTTCGCGTCGTGCCTAGCAACGCCCCTTAGCTGTTATAAATTCACTGTAAACCATGGCTTCTTGGGGCTTATTGCTTTAATAACCCTTTAAGTAAAGTGTTACCCAATAAATCAGTAGATCTATAGAGTTTGAGTTAACTACAAAGCCGAACTAGCTTTACAAGTGAGTGAATCCTCTCATTCCTTAATCAGTCTCATTTCAGTTAATCCGTTTCAGTTAATTGTTACCTGCTCTCCAAAGATTATGCAGCTGACTTCTGAGATAGAACAAAAAAATAATTTCAAGACAACATGAAGTACACATTTACCCTGTTTATTTTCTTGAAACCTGGAGATATCCAGCAATTTAAAAATGGTCATTTCCAAACAAAGTCATGAAAATATTTGTAGCGAAATTATTTTTTAAGGTGTACTCTGCTCTAAATATTTCATCATCTAGAACAAGAGCAGTCAACCTGCTTGTAATTTTCAGTACTCATGAACACCTTGGTTAGGTTGTTTAGTTATGTTTGATTATGGATGGACAACGGATTGGGGTTAGGCAGGACGGTAGCTCTTCATTAACAGAGTTGAAAATTTTTTCATTGACTATAAGGTCTCTATCAAGTAATCTAGTTTTTCCAGTAATCGTTAACGCCTGAGAAATGTCATGGAAATGCACCTGTAACTAGCATTCTGGCATTTTAAATAACTTTTTCTAAGTATTATAAAATCAAGTCTGACTACATTTATTTTGTGCTGAATATTCGGTTTCACTTCAACATTATGAGGGTTCAGTGTTTCACATACTGATTCATGTTATCCAACTCATTTTATTTTCCTCTTAGCTGTTTACATTGCCTCACAGCTGTAGCAAAATGACCCAACTTGTTCATATAGGTCTATCTCCATTCACTGTGAGCTGGAGGTGTGATTGATTGTTCCTCGCCAGGGAGGGTGTGATTGGATTAGTCCGGTGTCTGTCCTCGAATCATTGGCCCATTGACTCGATCTGTCTTATGTCAGCAATCAGATGAATAACGGGGGTTTGGTTCTGTTCTTTCCTGAATTACAGATGTGTGTGATGAGCCATCATAACCCTGTGAACTCAATTTAAGGCCAGTTCAGGGCCAAACCTTAACCTCTCCTTGGACTTACTTCTGGAAATGATATCATTATCGTATATTGCATAAATCTTTCAAGCAGTTGGAAAAATGTCCTCACAATATAGGGAACAAGAAGCTCTCCAAGTCAAGACACAGATGGTTTCTTTTTGATTAAACCCAGTTTAACACAGGCAGCAAACAGACTCCATCAGTTAATGGATGGATATAAATGAAGACAAAGTGAAGGACTGTATCTCTATTGACCTCTCATATCCTTCCTGCTGTGATAATGGAATGGGACTTAAACCAACTCCGATCTGAATGATTTCCGAAACGTGGATAAAATTGCTGCCCAATGTGCCATATAGATGATAACCCCAGGCTTTAAGAGTGCTTCTTGCATCAGAGAACCTCTCCGTATGATTCATCTGAGCTGTAGCCTGTGTCCTGATGATGTACATTGTCACAATCCAATCAGTTGATCCCGTGGAAGCAGTTATTGCCAGCTTTCTTCAGTTATGTTCCTTAGAAATCCTGTATGGTTTTATTTAAACGGACAAAAAAAGTGAAAATTCCGTCATTTATTTATTCACCCTCATGTTGTTCCAAACCCATAAGACGTAGAAAAGTACAGAAATAGGGAGCAAAGCGCAGAGCAGTAAGCAAGAACGTCCGAACGGTAGCGAAGCCGGAAGTTATCCCTAGTTATCCCAATAAGACCTGACAGGTTTCTGTTACTCCATTGAAAGTCCAGGCAACCAAAACTTAGAAGATCCAAAAAGGTCATAAAGGCATCATAAAAGAAATCATTATGAATAGAGTGGTTTAATACAAATCTTGTGAAGAGGTACGATCGCATTAAATTATGAATATTTAATTTAGTCTTTTTTGGTTACCTGGACTTTCAGTGGAGGACCAGAAACCTCTCAGGTTTCTTTAAAAATATCTTAATTTATGCCTTTAAGATTAACCAAAGACTTATGGGTTTGGAACAACATAAAGGTAAGAAAATGATGACTGATTTATTTTGTGGGTGAATTGTCCCTTTAAACTATAGATACAATAACTAATGGACATTCTCCCTAATGGAAGTTTTTTTTTTTCTTTCAAAAATAGGTCAGTGTTTGAGTTTTAAAGTAGCTTCCTGTAATCTGGTTTAGCTGCAGGGGAAATATTTGACAACAGCGCTCTTCCATGAGGATTACAGAGGTATAAGAATGTTTTTGGTCTTCAGGCAGGTTTACCGCAGACCTAGGGTCACACAGCAGTTAATTTTAGAATGGTTCATTACTGTATTGGACTGCAGATATGCACCGGAGGCTACGCTTTATTTAACATCTGGCGTGAAGGAGCTACCCACCTAGAATCATCACTAGCGTTACTGCACCTTACTTGGCATCTCCACACCTGCCACGGGAAACATTAATTAACCGTTGCCTTGCCATTTTTAGACTGTTGCCATGGTACCCCTGCTGCCACTATCCTATGTGGTTTTTCCTCGCAGACGATGTGTAATATTTTTTTCTCCCCAATTTTATTTCCCCAGTCCCCCACCTTTTATGAGAGGTGTGATGTCTTGGAGGTTGTGCTGCTTTTTTACGATTTCGGCTTTGAGTTGTTTTGTCTGTAGCAGTTTGTTTATGTCAGAAGGCAGCAGTGCGGCACGAATACGTGTTTGTGTACGGTTGTTCGCTCATGACTGAGACAACCTTTTGCTTGTTAGTTCCTGTGGTGTGGCACGGAGCTGGGCAAATCCTTATTTTTCGTCTCCCTGTTGCTCGCTCTTCAACCCACAATGCCAGCTGCTTCTGCTGTCTGAGCTCCATGGTGACACCCGTGTCTCAGCATGCTGACCGCTGTGCCACCACTGAGCAAAGCGCTTCTGACCTCAGACGAACACTGGGACATCTGGGGAAATTAGTGGGAGCCTGCGGTCGCCTCGCTTTTGATGTTGACTCCTTGATTATTTACTGAGGTCTTTGGCTGTGATGCTCAATATTGTTTAATCTCTAATTTTTTCTCCCTTCTTTCTTTCTTCTGTATTTCTCTCAGCTGTGTACACAAGGGGATGCCAGTCAGGTGATCGGACCCCTGACGGAGGGTCAGAGGAGAAACATTGCCGTGGTGAACTCTCTTTTCCGCCTGCAGCAAGCTGTGGCTAAAGTAAGAACACCAGCTCTCATTCAAGACACTATAGTCACTACAGGTTTATTTCACTCCACAAAGTCATTTATTCATCCTTGTGTTGTTCCAAGCCCATATAACTTACTACCTTCTAAGAAGCATTGTTTCTTTTGTCTCATTTGAACAGTATTCTCGAGCTCCAAAAAAGAACAAAAAATAAATAAATCACTAAAAGTACTACAAAAATGTGACGGTGAACCACAAAACCAGTCATAAGTTTAATTTTTTTAAATTGAGATTTATATATATAATCTGAAAGCTGAATAAATAAGCTATAGGATAGGACGATATTTGGTACAACTATTTGAAAATCTGGAACCTGAGGGTGCAAAAAAATCTAAATATTGAGAAAATCGAAATAAAATCAATAATTTTGACCCATACAATGTATTTTTGGCTATTGCTACAAATATACCCGTGCTACTTATGACTGGTTTTGTGGTCCAGGATCACAAATAGTCCAAACAACTTCAACATATTTGAATATATACTGCTCCAAAAGACATTTAAGAGGTGTGGTAACTGGGAAGATCAAAAGGTTTGGTCTGTTCCTTGCACAAAGCTTTGAAATATGCTGATATAGCTTTCATAGCACTCAAAATATAGTCCAGAAGACCTAAGAACTACTTATATATCTTTACTTAATGATCCTAATGATTTTTGGCATAAAAGAAAAATCAATAATTTTGACCCATACAATGTATTTTTGGCTATTGCTGCAAATATACCCGTGCTACTTATGACTGGTTTTGTGGTCCAGGATCACAAATAGTCCAAACAACTTCAACATATTTGAATATACACTGAGACATTTCTTTTGGATGTCTGAGACATCCAAAAGACATTTAAGAGGTGTGGTAAATGGGAAGATCAAAAGGTTTGGTCTGTTCCTTGCACAAAGCTTTGAAATATGCTGATATAGCTTTCATAGCACTCAAAATATAGTCCAGAAGATCTAAGAACTACTTATATTGTCCCTATTCATTTTCATTGTATTGTAAATAGCTCTCCGTACATTCTGCTAATCATCTTCCTTTGTGCTTCCCATATTAAAGAAATAAACAAGGTATGGTGAGTAAAGGGTAACTAACTACCCTTTTAAAACTCCAATTAAAAGAATACGAGTTATTCAGTTAGTTTGATTGGCATGTGCCAATTTTACAAAATGCAAAATGGGTCAGTCTGTCTAAATTTCTTTTCTTAGTATTTGTCTGGATAATGAGAAATCAAACCAAAGTTCTGGTTTGGCATCCCATAGGTGTTTTGCCATGATGTGCTTCCTAAAGCTGTGTTTTATTAACAGATGATCGTAAAAATTCACTCAGCAGGATGTATGAAATCACTGTTCCACACCAAGGAAAGATTTTGTGGGGCGTTTAAATAAAAGTCAGCGTGAAATTATTAGAGTCCTGCTGTATTAAAAAACTCCTCTATGTGTGGAAAACAGACCACCTGTCTATAAACAGCATATGGCTGCAGTGCCTTTACTCAGGAGAGAGTCTTGAAACTGCAGACTCACCGCCAGTCATATCTGTACAATATGAGTGGTGATATTTCAGAAGTGGCTTTTTTAGCACCAGCTGATGTAGTTCCCAGTCTGCCCCATTAAAAAAACATGCCAGCAGCAGCCAAAGCTTTTTCCTTGCTGGTGTGATTAATAAGGTAATAAAAAGAGATTTCTCTATGATTAAATATTTAAACTGGGGGTGATCAAAGTTTTACTGGTGAAAAGTGAAGGTGCTTGTTTCAGTAAGATTATTTTATTAGGGCCTGAACTTTGAGTGAAGACAGGAATTAATATTCAAGGGCTCTAAACATTAAATAATTGCTGACTTTGAGTTGTTTTCAGGTTATATCTGGACTGGGTACCTTCCCTCCTGCAGCAGAGCAATTGCTCACAGCATCTTTAGAGGTAAAACACAAACAACAAAATTCTGTTTACATCAGAATCACTACAAAGATCATATGAGGGACATCCATAATTCAGTTAATATAGCTTCTTGACAAAAATAACAGTATGCTAAAAACATCACAACTGGTCACTGGCAATACATGTTAATAACTTAACGGGGCCTAACTACACATGGTCACATTAGTAACATTATATACATCTTTTTGGTTTGAATATCAGCTCTCAGCAGGTAATGTCCTCTATATTCACAACATTCATTTCATGGTGCTTTTCAGCAACAAGTGCACTGCACTATTAATGCAGATAGTGGTGCATGATACACCATCAAGCTGTGAGCATTTGTGCATTCGTGATAAAGATTAACAAGTGAGCACACGGGACAATGAACAAAAGGGTCAAAATTTTGATAGAGATGCTGCAGCTCTACACAAGCACACACAGAGTCTAGAGGTGGTTTTGGAAAGTAATTGGGTAAACATTGAGCTTCTCTGAATTCAGTGCTCTGTCCCCTGAGGTAAATTGGCTATCAGATGAGTAAACTGGTCATTCTCTTCCCCTTCGTCTCTTTTAACGAAACCTGCCAGCTGTACGGATACGCACACACGCTTTAACCCTTGATCTTTAAGTGTAAACAACAGTCCAAGGTGAAAACACATTACCACACTTTACCACCCGCTGTCCTCAGAGTTGAGGCAGTGCTCTCCTCCCATGTAGGGTATGTTATCTCGATATCCCTGTCCCTAATGTTTCACATGATGTGGATGTACATGTGGCCTTTGTGGCCTTGTGGCCATGGTCTTTTGCACATGACTCCATGAAAATCCATGAAAGCATGGTTCATTTACACTTCAGAGCACCGCCTATGCCCCCTTTGGAAAGTGTGCTACTTGTCAGAGACTTATCCCAGATGCACCTCCATCACCAGCAACAAGTGCTAGTTCTGCTTCTCCCCAATCCTCATCACATCGCACTAGGAACTATTCTTTTTTTTATATATATATAAATATATATATTTGGGGCTTTTATGTCTTTATTGTTTGTAGGACAGTGGAGATATGACAGGAAAGCATAGGGCAGAGAGAGGGAAGCAGGGTCGGCAAAGGACCATGAGTCAGGAATCGAACTCGGGTTGCCAGAGGCACAGGTGCACTACATGTCGGCGCACTAACCACAAGGCTATCTGCACCGACAGGAACTGTTCTAAACCAGAACAAAACTAAATGCAACAGAACGAAATGGGGCACCAGCACCACCCAAGATCCAGTTGCCGCTCTGAGCAAAGAATGCCGGGAAAGCTGAGTACGTGACTACCTACTTTGTTGTGAAAGAGTTTAGGAAGAAGAGATGTGCAGCGGAGATTTTTATCTCCTGCTTGCAGGGGATTTTGCCGATGACCGGCCCTATTTGGTCAGAGAGACCTATTGGGTTTGCATTGATGTCGCTCAGAGATGGAGAGCCGGATAAGAGCCTAGGACGAGGGGGGCCAGCTGCCGTGACACACACGATGGTCAGACTGATGTCCCATCAGCAAATGTCAGGCAGTCACATGGGAGGAGGGAGAGCAGGTGTTGGCGCAAGTCGCCATGTGATCATGTGAAGAAATACTACAAGAACCAATGACCTTCAGAAGAACTACTCTTTCACACACGTTCAATAATGTCTGGCTGACTGATATCATGGATAATTCTGTCTCTTTTTGTTTAATTCACATTCTTTAGTTAACTTATAGTTTTTGTGTGTCTCTTGCAGTCGGTTCAGGCTCTGATGAGTAGCGCCGTTCAGCCACTGCTAAATTCTGTTACCGACTCTGTTGAAGCAATACTCATTACTATGCACCAGGAGGATTTCTCTGGGTAAGCAAGCAACACATGCACTGTATTACTATAATATGTACTGCATACAGGTCAGTATATAATGTATATATTGCGCACCATTCCATGTAAGGCTACTCAGTCTGCATAAACAGTAGTATGTTATACTGTTAAACAACCGCAGTTGTATCCGCTTATCATCTTGAAAATGTAATATAGTTCTTTTTCATCTTAAAAGGATAGTTCACTGAAAAATTTAAATGACCCCATTATTTACTCACCCTCAAGCCATCCTAGGTCTATATGACTTTCTTCTTTCAGACGAATACAATCAGAGTTATATTAAATAATGTTCTGGCTCTTCCAAGCTTTATAATGGCAGTGAATAGTGGTCGAGATTTTGAAGCAAAATAAAGTGCATAAATTCATCATAAACAGTACTCAACATGGCTCTGGGGGTTAATAAAGGCCTTCTGAGTGAAATCAATGCATTTGTGTAAGAATAATATCCATATTTAAAACTTTACAAACCATAATCTCTAGCTTACGCTAACTGTCCTATGTGCGTTCATGAGAGAAAGTCATATCTCGGCTTGAGGGTGAGTAAATCATGGGGTAATTTTCATTTCTGGGTGAACTATCCCTTTAAGTGCAAAACTTTGTGGGACACCGTAATGGACTAGTTGTCCAAAAAAGTAGTCAACCAGTAAGTCTTATGTAAATAATTCACCTCATGCCGTGCAGCATCAGTGCTCTGCAGCTAAAAAGTGAGAGACCTAACACTCCAGGTTTACTCAATTTTCCCATATATATTTGACCATTTCAAAATACCACACAAAACAAATGAGAGATGTCAAAATTGGGATTTATGGTTGTACAAAGACTGTGTTCTCCCCTCATGGGCTTTTTTTCAAACACTAAACATGACATTTGGGATTATGTGCCCTATTTAGTCTTGTTGAGGGCAATTATGAGACCAGGTCTCTCTTAGCTCACTATATTTCAACATAAATTGTTCCTTAAAGCAGAGACAGAGTGTAATGGGTGTGCTGTTGCCATAATTCTTTACCATTTAAAAAAGTTATGGTGACACTGCCAGTATTTCTAAGTTTGGAAATCACAATACTATGAGGACAGGGTGATGCAATTTAATACTAGCTGCTAAATTAGTTCAGCTCCTCTTTGAGTTTTATTATGATTTCCTTATATGTAGTCTTTAAACTTACAAATCTCCATTCAGTTATTCATGTCCTCATGCTGAAAGACTGAACCTGTGATGCCATGAGACTGCGAGTGAAACAGACTGCAGACACATGAACACCCTCATGATGTGGGGATGTACATGTGTGGTTTTGGCTGTTATGATGGACACATTCCCTGAAGATTGTCTTCTGCATTCATCTTTCGTTTTCTCTTGCACTTGCTCTCATTGGTTGGTCTGGGTGGTCCAGAGAATACAACAGAGAGTGATGTGCCAGCGTTTGATAACATTTAAACCGTCACCCCTATGATTCAGCGTGGCTTCTTTTGTCCACATCTCTCATCCCCGCAGGGCCACTGGAGTCAGGCTTGGCGGGCTTGTTTTATTTCTGTCCCCGCTGTCGGGCATTCCTGAGGGAAGACAGCAGAGAAATAAACATGCCATAGAGACGGTTTTGTCCAGAAAATCAATGTCTGAGTCATATGTTAGTCCAAAATGAAAATAAATAAATAAATATAAAAAATATATATTGCAAATAAATGAAGTACAATTTATTTTTGTAAAAACATAAAATGTTTCATATTTTTATGAAACTATTAGTTTATCATGGTTGTGTTTATAATAGTGCCTCTGATGTATGCTGATTTTTTAAATAAAAAATGATCAATCTATTATAGTATTTGTACTCCAATATAGTAAATACATGCTGTATTACAATAGTGAGAATCATAAAAAATAAGAATTATAAAAGAGAAACCCATTACGATAATGAAAATGAAAATGTGCTTAATTAAAGCATTAAAATAAACGTTAATTGGACCCTAACACATTCATTTTTTTTTTATTTCAAGGTAAAATATAAAAAAATAGAAAGTTATAGTGAGATTCACCCAAAAATGACCTCCCATATGTGTAAAGAAAAACTGACTGTCACTTGCTAAAAGGCATTAACACGACCTTCCTTTTCTGACTTTGTGTGTGTGTGTGTGTGTGTGTATTTCAGCAGTTCCAGTAGCTACACATTTATGATATTGATTATGTGACAAAGGAAATCAATGTGTTGCTTGTAGCTGTAGTCTACGCTCACATTACAAGATTACAGTACACTACTTTTTTGTGTGTGCGTGTGTGTGTGTGTGCTGTGTGTGCGTGCACCCAGTCCTTTACCAGCAGGTGGCCGTCCGGACGTGCCATGCTCTCTGTACATGCGTGAGCTGCAGGGCTTCATTGCACGAGTGATGAATGACTACTTCCGCCCGCTGCAGTGTCTGGACTTCCTTTACGATAGTACAGAGATCATCGCCCAGCGCACCATCACCGTCTTCATCCGCCACGCCAGCCTCTTGCGCCCACTCGGAGAGGGAGGGAAGATGAGGTTGGCGGCCGACTTTGCTCAGGTGAGGAAAATGAGGGTCAGCCTTCCTCATTCGTCTCTTTTACTTAATCTGTGGCTCTCAATAATTTTATTTTGTCCATGAATCACAAAGTAATTGGGAAAGTAAAAAAAATAGCTTAATTTAAGCATTTATCCATTAAAAAAAAATCACTTTAGCTCTCAAAACAAATAAATTGTACCTTTACACCAAATAATTAATTCAAAAGAAAATTGAAAATTGTATCATCATTAACTCAACCTCATGTTGTTTAAAATCCGTATTCAGATTTCTTTCGTCAGTTAAACAATGTAAATGGGAACTGTGGCTATCAAACTCCAAAATGATAAAAAATATTTAAAAAAACACCATAAAAATGGTTCTGTAGCTTTCTGTGAGAAACAATCAAAATATAAGCATTCATTCACTGAAAATTCAATGTAGATCTCAAATCAAATATAGACCAAAACATTTATTCAAAAGTAAAAATTCTGTCATTTACTCACCATCATATTGTTTCAAATCCATATTTAACTTCTTTTCGACCACGAAACACAAAGTAAATTGGAAATAGGGATGTCAAGCTCCAAAATAACAACAAAAAAAAACACCATAATCATTTTTCTTTAGCATTCAGATGTCATACATTAACTTTCTGTGAGAACAGTAAAATTCAAGCATTTATTTACTGAACACTCACTGTAGCTCTTAAATACATGGCGTCTTTAGACTTGTCACATTATGTCTGACATCACAAGATGCAATGACATTTGAGGTAATTGACATCCAACCTCATGCAAAGTGTCTACATGCATCATGTTTAAGTTTTACAGTCAAGCTCTTATGTGTCAAGAAAACAATGACTCTTTGCATCTGCGAGTGAACATCTCATGTTCATGTTACAGATGGAGTTGGCCGTGGCTCCTCTCTGCAGACGGGTTTCAGACCTGGGGAAAGCGTACCGTCTCTTGCGATCTTTTAGGTGAGTCTTTATTTACAGTCTGGATGATGTCAGGTGACTTTATCTTCCTGTCCTCAAGTGACTGCAAGCAGCTCCTGATGTCACACACTCAGTAATTTTGCATCTATTTTTCACACAAATGCTCTCAATTTGTGTTATCCTTTGTCCCCGTCCTTCCCCGCTGAGACAAAGAGGTCGCCTGGAGTCTTCCCGCTGAAAATTGCTGTTAATTAACAGTGAGAGAGAGAGAGAAAGGAAGGTTATTAATGGAGATGCTCGTCTGATTAGCTGAGGAGAAGTCGGTGTCAAATTATCTGTCCGGATAATGCTCTAATGCTCACCTTCCGTTGCTTCTTTGTTGTTTTTGACTCATGACAGCTCCACGTTCTTGGTCTTGATTTATCGGTGCACGTTATTCCAAATAAAAAAATGTTCTGCTTTTAACGTTCAGGTTTGATTAAGGCAGTCTCCATACTTTCCTCCAGGCAATCTAATAAACACCAGTGAGGTCTTGCAGGATAGCTAATCAAATGCCAGCTCTGGAAGCGACTACCATGCCTGGATCCCTCATGAGCAAGGCCCGATTCCCCACTAGCAACTTTATTTTACTCAATGAGCGTGTGTGTGTGTGTAAGCATGCAAAATGATGTCTAGCAACCACAGGGGAAAGATGTTATTACAAGAGAGCCCTAAAATAGAGATATAATTATTAATATGGAGATATTTGTCTTGTTTGATCACTTTTGAGGGACCACAGATGACAAGTGATGAAATTTCTGAGGTGCAACTTGTAAATGACATTGTTTTTTTTTAGGGCTGTGCGATTAATTGAAATCGTCATAAAATCGCGATTTGAGCTTGCGCGATTTCTAAATCGCTTTATAGCACGATTTTCCGCACCCCCGACCTCCCGCAGTATGCTATCCGAACCAATCAGAATGCAGCGCGCCTAAATGGAGCACGAGAACAGAACAGACCGGGCGGGCATACAAATGTAACGCCAGGTTCACACACACAGTCTGTGGTGCGTATTTTTCCCGCGCCCATGTTAACGGATCAGAGCGTTCCCACTGGCAGTGCGCTCCAGGAGCGGTGCGTCTGCAGCAGTCATGCTGCGATCGTTTCCGCACGGAATCTATTTCTGCTGTGCTGCACGCGCTGAATTAAAGTGACAGCGCATTATTCGCAGTAAAAATTAACATGGATTGACACGGAAATTTAGAAATTACTCCATAAATGCATATAATTAAAGTCTACTGTTTCACAGTCAACACATGGCTTTTTGGCTAGATTTAAAACAAGGAAAAGTGCACTTTTAGATAAACAAGGCAATAATAGATGGCACTCGTGGTGGTAGTTAAACAAAGTTATATTTATTGAGTTTAAACGTGAATATGTCTATGAAAGATTGTATTACTGTACTGTAATAAAAGAGAATCACAAACGGAATTTTCAGAATTTGAAATCAAAATAATGGATAAATGTTGTGTTTGTGGTAAACAACCGCGGATCAGGAGCGGACTGCAAACGCGTCCTGTGCGAAAGCAAAATGAGTCCGTGCTGCTTCTGCACCGCATACACACACTGTATACGCACTGCAGACGGAGTACGTGTGAACTTGGCACAACAAATCTAGTTCAACATCTGAGGCAACGCCACAAAGAGCTCTATGACCAATGCAAGGCAAAAAAAATCCCTGGACACAGGATTTTTTTTTCTTCTGCCATATGTCTATTCTAGAGACATTTTGTTACACCTTTACTTAGTGATTATTTTGCCTTATGTCTGTTCCAGAGTCATGTTACAGCTTTTTGATAAAGCTCTAATTGGTTTTCTTTTGGAAATATGTTTCAAATTCACACTGAATGCATTAATGACTGTAAAGCATGTCTGTGTCTGTCAAAATCGTGATTAAAATCGAAATCGCAAAATTGATCAAAGAAATCGCAATAGGTTTTTTTTGTCCATATCGCACAGCCATATTTCAAATCCAAATATTGTCACAGAAAATGCTTTTTCAGCATTGCAATTCTTTTTTTGCACAGTACAGTAATCTTTCACAGACATGTTTAAACACAATAAATATAAGCAACACATTATCCAATGCTTTTTACTTTTGCATTTACTTCTAGATTTATATATTAAGTTGCTCAAGCAAGTGGCAAAACATTTAAACTACTTTTCTTACGTTATCACAAACTTACCATTGACAGAAATAGTCAGCTCTACTGGCCTTTCCTTTTGCATTGAAATCTTTATTAGAAGCAATCCTGCGGTTCATAAAGAACTTTGTTTTCCTACCTCCACGAGTGCCATCTATTATTGCCTTGTTTATCTAAAAGTGCTCTTTCCCTTTAAACCTAGCCAAAAA